GAAGAATCTTTCCATCCATCCATCCATCCATCCATCCATCCATCCATCCATCCATCCATCCCACTTATACAGCAGCCCATCTCACACAAAGTGACTCTGGGTGGCATACAACAATTGAATAAAATAACAAATGGATAAAAACAATCATTATAAAAGATAAATAAGTGATTATTAAAATGTAAACATTATCAAACATTTAAAATTTTTTATAATGGAGATAAACATAAAACAATAGCAAATAAAATGTAACATACCATAGCCAGGCCAAATAATGCAGTATAAGGGAAATCAATTTTTCTTCCCTTCTGCTGTGTGTATTCAGTCAAAAGTAAGTTTTTTGAGTTTCATGAGAGATATGAAATTTCTTATAAGTAATCTATAATACTCACTATGACATGTTGGGCATCTTTTGCCATTATGGGAAAACCTACTTAACGTCATATCGAAGTCTGTAATTATCTGCAAAGAGTAGATAAAGAAATGTATCATGAATGCAAAATTAAATTAAATGCTTAAAATGTAAACCCTAAGAAAAAAATCAGTATTATAATACTCATTGGCTGTGTTCTCATTTAATTTTAAGTGCACTGAAGCTTTTGTTTTGGTTTTTAACTTGCCACAAGTCAGCATAGTATTTAAGCCATGACAAACTGGGATCAGCATTAGCTGTGATTTGCTAAAACAAGCCAACAGTAAGGCACAATTAAGGAAGTTGATGTTTTAGAAAACCATAATTAAGATTAACAACAGTTTAGAATTCAGACTTAATACTAAGCTGTGGTTAGTAGAATAAAAGCATTATGGTAGTAAATTTTTGCAAATATTGCAGCCAAATTAGGGAACTGCGGAGAACATCCAAGGAAGAGCTTTGAGAATCCTCCAATATGATCTTGTGTGACCTGAAGGTTATCCAGTCTGACTCACTGCTTGGTATGGAACTGTTTTCTTATAGTTTAGTTTTTAAAGTCTTAATAGGAAGCAAAATGGAAATGTTTTAATAGTCCCGTTTTGTCATATCTTTGGAATATTGCTTTCTAGAGGTTATTTTTTTTGGGGGGGGGGCATTTTTGGGATCAATTCAGTTTCTCTAAAATTCTAAAAGTGCATAACCAGCTTTTCTTCCTTCCAATATAAACATCTGTAAATGTTTTTTAACTAAGGATATAGTCTAATCACAGCTAGGTTAATGTCACTGTCCAAATCTCGTAATTGTTTTTCCAATAAGTATGGCCTTATCTTTATATTAAAAATATGACAAATTTACCACCTTTTATTAAGCTTACTGTCTGTCACAGTTGATCATATTGTGCTGACAAATGTACATTTTGACAAAAGAACCTTGTCAAAATTTTAAAAAATAGAAACATTTTAAATAAATCAAAATAGGAGAAAACCCAATATTTTTTGTTTCTATTCAACAATTTGAAATGAATTTAGTAGGTAAATTAAGAATGTAAGAGAGTTGAAACACATCAAATTTTATATTAATTAAAACAGGCATTTTTAAACTACAGTCCCTTAAAATTTGATATTTTAAAAATACCTGTAACTTTGTCGCTTTCAAAGACAGTGTGATAAAATACAAAGCAATAATAACCTCTTCTACAAGTGTGTCCAGAGTTGAGGTCAAGGAGGACAAATGACTGCATTACAATGTCACAGTGCAAATTCTGCTCCTTAACACTGGCATGAAACTTTGCAATACATGTATGAAAGGGTGGATCTTGCACTATTACATCACAACACAATTTTTATCATTTTGGCATCATCATGACTAGCTGCAGATGACTCTGCTATTCTATAGTCAACACCCCTATGTTAGAAGTTTTTTATTGTAAAACTGAAAGGTCTGTAAGAAATCAGGATACTTTTAAAATATGATAATATCATTCCCCTGATAGCCTTTGAGTCAGTGTTGACTCCTGGTGACTGCCTGGACAAGTCCCTGCAGTTTTCATGGCAACATTTTTCAGAAGTGGTTTTGCCATTGCCTACTTCCTAGGGCTGAGAGAGTGTGATTGCCCCAAGGTCACCCAGCTGGCTTCGTGCCTAAGGTGGGACTAGAACTCAGTCTCCTGGTTTCTAGATTGGTGCCTTAATCACGAAACTAAACTGGCTCCCCAAACAACATACAGCCTAGTAAAATAAATATGCTTATTATATACCCACCATCTGACCCATACTAGGAAGGTTTTTGAGTTAAGTTAGCTCTTTGAAGAGTTTAAAAGAAACACTGTGCTAAGCCATAACGCAGTTGGCTGGATTTATTTAGTGTGTATGTGAACCAGCCACTGTGGTGTATAAATCTTGGTATCTGGCTTAACTTAGGGATCCTTGACTTTTTTGACCATGAAGGCATGGGAAGGAAAAAAGACCCATTTTCCAGAAGACAACCTTGTGAAGTTGCTGCCTCTAATCCCTATTAGGCCCTTACTTTGTCTTATTTCTGGGCAAGTAGGCACACTTTCCAGTTAAGCGTTAGACTGTAGCCATTCACTATTTTTATTTTCCAAAAATTCTTTTTCAGCTTATGTGGGTCCCAGAGCCATTTTTGGAAACAGAAATAAGGGGTGATGCTTTTGCTTTCCAACATGCTTTGAAAATTAGAGTAAGATTAGACAGAAAACCTGGCAGAGGCCTAGGGAAGTGATCTCATCTGGATGATTGAAGTAAAGGAATTTCTAAGTACAATGTCCTATATAAAAATGATGCCTACAGATGAATCAAGGCAGACTTTTCAAAATACAGTTAAAAGGTAAAATTGTAAATATTTAATTTAACTTATGGAATTATACATTTGTTACTAACCAACTTTTTAACTGAAGTAGAGAGAGAGAGAGAAAGAAACAGTTTAAAGGAGCTCAGTTTAAGAGACTTCAGTTTAAACAACTCTGGACACAATGTGTACATTTTTCATTTCAATTTCAATCCTAATTAATGACTTGTTTATTCATCTGCAGATTTATCAATCTACTAAAAATGTGTCTTTAAGATCAAAGTTTTACTGCAATTCCCTAATTAGATATAATTTATATCCATAAAAAGATATAAATTGATGCAAATGATGTAAATTCAGATTTAAATGGAATCACCTCTCTCAATGGTTAATCACAGTACATTGAAGTTTTACTATGTATGTATGTGTATGTACACACGCGCGCACACACACATGCAAGATCAAGCATAGCATGACTACGGCAGAAATAAAGAGAGGTGTCATTAGATATAATGGCACTCACTGATGCCTTGTTGGAAAGTCAAGGCTCATCTTATATACTAAATAAACTACCATGGGCTATGCATGGTTGAAATAAATGTAACTATAATCCTGCTTCACACCGCTCTCCAAACTGAAACAGGAAGCAGCTGATTTGGTCTATGATGAAGACAATTAGCATTTTACATCCTTAATTTCTATAACAATGTTTTGCTCTTTACTTGAAGTTTGGCAGCTCCTCCTTTGATAAGGCCACAGATAATTTCTTCCACCCTTTCTGGGTCTTTGATATGAACAGTTTTCTTCTGAAATTCTGGCATCTGAAAAAAGGGGAAAAAAAAAGATATTAATATTTACACAAGTAAACATTTATCAAGTTGATTAAGTGACTCTTAACATGCAAAAATGCTAAAGAATGTAAAAACTAAAGTACTTTCAAGCAGGGAAAGCAGTGGATTTATTTATTTATTTATATTTCAAATTTGTCACCGCCCCTCTCGCTGTGAGGTGACTCTGGGCGGTTTATAGTAAAAATAGAATAAATATTGATTAAAATAAATAAAGATTAATTAAATAATTACAATATATTCAAAACACACATCCTTTAAATACATCCAAGAGGCAGATGTTAATTAGATGTTAATAAACTCAGGGCGCATTGTCAAGGTGCCAGCCATCCCCAGGGTCGATTATTTCTTTCCTCGCCCCAGGCAAGTTGGCAGAGCCAAGTCTTCAATTCCCTCTGAAAAATTGGGAGGGTCGGGGCCCTCCTCACCTCTGGGGAGAGAGTATTCCATAGGGTGGGGGCAACAGCAGAGAAGGCTCTCCTCCTAGGACCCACCAGCTGACATTCTCTCACTGACGGGATCCACAACATGCCCTCTCTGCCGGACTGGGTGGAACGGGTCAATGTAATGGGGGTGAGACAGTCCCTCAGGTAGCCTGGACCCATGCCATATAGGGCTTTAAAAGTGATAACCAACACCTTGAATTGGACCTGGAAACAAACCGGAACCCAATGCAGCTCCCGCAGCAAAGATGTTACGTGTGCCCTCCTTGGGGCACCCATGATTAACTGCACAGCTGCATTTTGAACCACCTGTAGCTTCCAGATACTCTTCAAGGGTAGCCCCATGTAGAGTGCATTGCAATAGTCTAAAAAAGAGATGACCAGGGAATGGGTGACAGATCAGAGTGACTCCTGATCCAGGAAGGGGTGTTAACTGGCACACAACATGAAGTTGCGCAAAGGCTGTCCTGGCCATGACTGCCACCTGCTCCTCGAGCAGGAGTCGTGAGTCCAGGAGGACCCAAGATTACACACCGGGTCTGTCTGGGGCAGTCCAACCCCATCTAGAACCAAAGATGGTAACCCCCCAGATACAGAGGGGCCTCCAATCCACAGCCACTCCATCTTACCAGGGTTCAGTTGAAGGCTGTTGTTCCCCATCCAGACCCCCACAGCCTTCAGGCACCACGAAAGGGTGGTCACAGCATCATTCAAATCACTCAGGATGGAGATGCATAAATGGGTATCATCTGCGTACAGATGATACCCATCCCATGGTGGTGGATGACCTCTCCCAGTGGTTTCATGAAGATGTTAAACAGGAGTGGCGAGAGTACCGAACCCTGCGGTACCCCACAACAGAGGGGCCATGGGCCAGACCTGTCACTCCCAATTAACACAGACTGGAGGAAGGAAGTGAACCAGCACAAACTGTACCACCCACGCCCAACTCCCTAAGCTGGCCCAAAAGGATATCATGGTTGATGGTACTGAAAGTTGCTGAGAGGTCAAGAACAAGGATGGATGCACTACCCCCATCCCGCTCCCGCCTGAGATCATCCATGAGTACAACCAATGCTGTTTCTGTCCCATATCCGGGCCTGAAACCTGACTGGAAAAGGTCCAGATAATCCGTTTCATCCAGTATCCTCTGTGGCTGCAACACCACCACCTTCTCAACCACCTTCCCTAAAAAGGGGAGGTGGGAGACTGGACGAAAGTTGTCCAGCACAGTGGGATCCAGGGATGGTTTCTTGAGGAGGGGATGCACCAGTGCCTCCTTAAAGGTGACTGGAAACACCCCCTCCCTCAAGGATGAATTCACCATTGCCTGGACCCATCCACATATCACCTCCCAAGCAGCCCTGACCAGCCAGGAGGGGCATGGGTCTGGTTGACAATGGTGGCATTAACAGTCTGGAGGACCCTGTCCACTTCCTCAGGTCCAACAGGATAAAACTGTTCCCAGATAACAGGGTAAGTCTGTACCTTGGGCATCTCCATAGGCCATGCCCCACATTTGGAATCCAACTGGGAACAGATCCAAGCAATTTTATCCTCCAGATGCCCAGAAAGCTCCTCTGTGTGGCCCTGTAAATAGGCCACCGGGCCCCCCTTTCCCAAAAGGGATCGGGTGGTCTTAAACAGGGCCGCTGGGTGGCATTCTGCAGATGCAATATGAGTGTAGAAATATTGATGTTTCACCGCTCTTACCACCACAAGGTAGGCCTTAATAGTGGCTCTAGCCTGTGTTCGGTGGGATTCGGTCCTTGTTCAACATTATGTCAATTCAACATTGACATAAATTACAGTATCAGCCTATCTTTCACAGGACAGATGAGGTAGTTATATTTATCTTGAAATTCCTGAAGATATCAAACACAGTGTTGCTGCTGCTGTATATGCAAATATATTAATAGTACAACTCCACATGGCAATTTTAAATATAAAAATATTTACAAGCATGAAGTACTACTGATATTTGGATTCAACTCTGATTTATTATGAATATAAGCACAGGCCTGAATATTCATATCTCTCTGGATTTCATTCATAGATTTTATATATTATCTGTAATAACCCCTCATAAATAACATGGGAGAAAATCAGTAAGTCAAAAAGAGAGAATTCAAAATTCTAAGCATATCTTCAGAGAAGTCTTTTCCCAGTGCACATCTGTATTATTTATTTCAAGTGGGAATGACACACAATTAGGTCACCAGCAGTCATTTGAGATGACTTATTACTGAATAATAACATTCATATAATAATAACCTTAATATAACCATAATGGCATGGTGACAATATCCTTTGAGGAAGGGTGACATAGTTCTTGCTTATCCAATAATTAATTGATTGGCTTACTGATTTGTAGACATGTGCATAGCTATGACTGTAGGTTTAGAAATGTCTGCTGACATAGGGATCAAGTCATTGGTCGTTCCTGCTTTGCTGTATACAGAAAAAATAGGTATGTAGCTCCATAGGTGGCTGTGTATTATTTGAAAATCTCTTTAGAAGACTTGAGAAGTTTACCAACGGCATGTAAAAATAGTAGAAATTTATCCAGATGATGGGTTTTTGAAAGTCTAAACGATGTATGCGGTTTACACTTACATATATTACTATTTAACATCTTATAAAATATTCACAAAAATACAATATTAGTGCTGTTATATGCATGTTTACTTTAGTGTTTTCTTTTCATTACTTCTCAAAAATAATGAAATATTAAAATAAAAACACACTCTTATTGTTTATGGCCACAATTATGAAATACTCTAGATAGCATTTATGTAAAATAATGTAAAGTAAACAACAAATGACCTGAAGGAGATGGGAGAAGAGAACCACATGAGCATTACACAAGACGTTGGCTGGACCCAATGAAAGCTTTAGCACAGAAAGAAAGCACTTTCTGTGGTGTCTTTCTAAAAATAATACAGCATATAGTTTTAGGAAAGATAAATAAGGCTTATGGTATTGATTTTTTTACATGAATTATCATAATAGCTAAACATTTGGCCATTATTTATCTCACTCAATGGGAATAGTACAGCTATACGGTTAGATAAAGGCTTTTTCTGGAGAAGCTCAATTGTCCTATGTCATATACATGGAAGAGCCCCATCCAAAATACGGTTCCATATTTCTAAAAGGTAAGGTGAATGTATATTTTCTGTTCAAGGCAGTAAAGTCAATATGTTATAATAATTATTATTTCAGTATTTTGGCTTTTCCCAGGTTTCTATTTATTGGACCACTGACTTCAGTGGACAATGACACTACTGTTTGATTTGGAGATGTAATCCATACACAGCCCATTAAATCACTGCATTCCTGCAGCTTGGCTGAGGATGTTACAAGTGAACAAACATCCCATCTTCTATCAGCAATCCATATTGATAGGCAAGTAAATAGGGTACTGCAAGTTTGCAACAGGTGTGTGATCCTAGTATCACTAACTCTTATATGTAATCTGAGCCTGTTAATGTTGGGTTGCAATAATGAGTTTCCTTAACTGTCAAACACTGGTAACATGCATAACATAGCAGAGAATATTGGTTGTTGAAGGGCCAAGGTTTCACGTTATCCCTCCAAACTATTAGACACTTAAAACAATTTGCCAACAATAGCATAAAGAGCCTACTCTATCATTGCACCTTCCTGAATTAGTGTTTGAATTGCTATTAGGGTGGTAGAATTAAATAGAAAGGAAAAATAATCACTTTTCTAAATCACTTAAAATGTGATACTATGCATTTATATAAGAAAACTATGTTCTTTAGGTAGTAAAAAACATAAGTACACAGGAAAAGGCAGGCTAATACATTATTTTGTGTGCTGAAATTGTTAACTTGCTTGAGAGATTCAGAAGGTATTACTAATAAATTATCGTTTACCCAATACTAAAAGCTACACGCTTGCTTAGCAATGATGATGACAGGACTGTACTAATTGGCAAATCATATAATTAGGCAGAAGGTTGTACATAATTAAAATTCAAATATTCAGTAATGTATTTATTAAAAGATCAAGAAATCACACTACAGCAATAGAGCAATTACAAACTCTTTAAACATACAAGAAGAGTAATAAAAAGCCAGGACTGAAAAATGGACTAGCCATTTTAACAAAAAACTCAAATTAATATCAGGTTAAACGTATTATAGGAAATCATCAAGAGAGTGAGTAATCTAGCCAGGATTTATATATTAAAAGAGCAATCCAAAGCTGCCATATTCGCAGTCTAATTAAATGGTACATCCATAATATACTTTGATAGATTTTAGCTGCAAGTATACAATTAAGTAAGATTACCTAACAGTAATAGTTTGAGAAAGCTTCAGTTCTACAAGATACTGTTTTGGAGACACTCTGAATGAGACCATTAGGCAAGGACAAACACAGCAGAATATTTATAAACAGATACCTGTCTCTATGAAAGCCTATACTACTGGCATATATAAAAAAAACGACTAGCTTTGCCAAGTCTGTAATCTGTTTATCAATGCTTATTCAAATGAAGAATTCCTTTAAAACTCACTGGAAGACAAGTTACATTCTACATGAAAATTGTATTGTATTGTATTTGTTTTATTTCTGGTGGAACATCGTATAATAAAGGAATACACTCAGATTTTTTCTCTCTAAGAAGTGAAAGAAAACACCTTCATGTACAAATTACAATAAAACAGAGATGATGCTGGAAGAACAGGACCTCATCATTAATGTAAATATGAGGTAAAATTATTCATATTTGCAATTTTATTTCAGAATTCTGGAATGCCCCTATCTAGCAGAGAACAAGACAGAATAGGATTGTGTTCCTCATTCTTTTGCTAGGAGTTTCCTGTACTGCCATTGATAGGAGCAGATTAGGAAAGAAGAATGAAGAATAAATAAGGACTTCTTTAGCATACTTCTCAGCTTTCAAATCTATCAACATAATCTACAGGAAATGTCACTTTCATGCTTATTAATACTAACAAGAATATAACAAAAACTATTAAAAGAATAACCTTTCTGCAGTGATAACATTTAAATATAAAAATATATTAAATCTCTCTCATTTAACACAAAGAGCCTCTTTCCAGCTACTACTATGAAATATCTATAATTTTAACATAGTTCCCATTTTTCACACCAAAACATAGATAAGAAAAAAAGTAATACTAGGAGCTTTCAGTTAGTTTTCATAAGCACTGATCATAAACCTGCAGAATTTATGTTCTAAGTTATATTCAGAATTGTTCTTTAAAATGGTTTTTTAATTAACAAATTAAACTGTCCTCAGAGAAAAAATGCAGTTCCATGACTTTAAAATAGTATAAAATTATAAATACTTATTTGCCAATCATACACACATATTAGATATATTTCATTTTTTTTCAATTGCTGTTATGATGCAATGGATAGAAATGCAGTTCAAATTCAGTTGTAAAGTGCATGAGTGCAAACTAATCTAAACAAAACCAGATGGACTTTATGGACTTTGTTACTGAAGGAAAGGATGCATTTAAACCACAGAAAGAAAAAGATACTTGCTAAGTCTTTTAGATTTTTCTAAAGAAAACTCTCACATTTAAAAGAATTTTAATTTAATTTAATTTAATTTAATTTAATTTAATTTAATTTAAAAGAAAAGCATATTATCTGATGTTACTAAACCCTCTAGATTTGCACCTGTGTTGAACTTTGTATCTGCCACACTTAGGAAGAATGTGCTGAAGTCTAGACTTGTAATTTTAGGATACAAGGCTTGTCAGAATTTTTCTTCATACTTTTTTTTTTTTTTAAAAAGTAGGTACCTGTGCGCTGACCTTAAGACACCCTTGCTTCTTCGGTTCTTGATCTTTTCCTACTGCAACTGCACAGGTGAAAAGCAGACTCCAGAGATGCAGGGCTTGCATACAGGCTGCCAACAAAAATCAAGCGAATTGCTTAGGAAATGGTCTGCTACATTATCCAACCTTCAGTATTTGTGTGTATAAACATGGTATACATAGGTTTATCTGAATAGCTCCAATTATATTATACTTTATAAATATTTCAATAATCCATGCTTTTTTTTCTTAAGTTCATATTTAAAACACTATCAGAACAACCCTATTTATGTTTACTCAGAAATAAATAAATACAGCACTTAATAGAGTTTATTTCCAGGAAATTTATATAGGAGCACAAAATAAGCTTGCAACCCTACTTATACTTCTTACTAGGGCATAAACCCTACTTAACACAATATGAATTATTTCTCAGTAAAGGAGCAAAGAACTGACCTGCACAGTATTTAGAATTTGTAACAAGCTGTCAGGTGAAGATAAAACAACATAAAATTGATTCATACAGTATTAGCTTGAAAACAATACTCCTATTTACAACTCACCAAGAGAGGCTTGTTATAGTAGCTGCGGCAGTGAAAAGAATTTTTCAGCTAAATAAATACTAATATAGCAGCACAAGGTGCAGCTGAGGGCGTTTCCAAAAGCAGTTTGACTAATCCCTGGGCAAAAAAATCCCAAGCCTTGTGACGTATATCAGGAAGGCATGGCTCAACAATCTAGCTTGTCAGATTGACAGATGATCTATCGGGGATACTGACAACAGAAGCTCAGAGCTCCAAAAACAGACTCACAGACAGAGCAGGCAACAGGGGGTTGCTGTAACAGGAGGAAAATGCTTCTTTCAAAATTAAACTCTTCTTTTTAAAAAGGATTTTCATCCTTACCAATGTTTTCTTACTTGCTCTGAGATTTACTAGAATTAACTGTATTCTAGTATTGCCATTTTATTATACCAAAGCTGCCACTATACTCTGAGAGAAACACAAAAGAGGAAATTATTACTATTTAAAATAACACTCACTACAGTCAGAAAGAAATCTGAAGGGTAGTTAGCTGATCGGCCTGAACATGTGACACAGAAAAAACAAAAACAGTAAATTTAGAAGAAAAAGAATGGACAAGAGATGGATAGATTTTGGATTCCAGATCTACTTCACTTTTCATTAAATTCTACAGATCACCAAGATACAAAGAGTATAAAACAGTGGTGGAGGTAGACAGACAGGGAACTAATGAAACATAAATAGCAGAACTACCAGGTCAGAGAGCAGGATTTAAAGTTTAAAAGTATTTGGCATATTTGTATCTAGGACGCTCATGAATGTTCAAGAAAAGCTAAACCTGCAGCAAAAGGAGCAGCCTGGCTGATCTTGAAATAGCTTAACAACATTTGTAAAAAGCTTTGAAAAGTGCATCAGTGTCAGATCTAATCTGCGTCAACTGTTAGGCATGATAGCATGATTAGGCACCACAAGATTTCCCAGTGAGCTGGAATTTAGAACTGTAAATAATGGAAAGAAGTGTGTATTATCAGCATTTCACAATGAACGTTTTAATGGTAAAAGTCCTTTAATGCTACAGGTTGAACAGGGAAGAATAATTTCTTAAAGACTGAGGTTGTGATGAATTCCAACTGAGAAAATAGATTAAGATATTTAACAAGAGATTACCACACTGAAAAATTAGTAAACCCCATCTGGATTTGGATTAGAAAGTTTTCCACAGCAAGACATTCTAAAATAATGCCCTGGGGGAAAAAAGGGGGGGGATATCAAAACCTCATTTTTGTTTTGAAGCTATTTTTTTTTATAAAAACTTGGCTTAAACAAGACTGCCAGCAAAGACTTTAATGTTTTGACTTTGAAGGAAAAATAAAGACAAACAAGTTGGGATTATACACATTCAGGCCTCAGGCCTTCTAATACAATAGTGAGCAACCGGCAGAATAAAGCCTCTGGGTTTATCAAGCCAAATATGTGCTAGATTTTGGGCTCTTGTCTTGTGTAGCAGATGCAGCATCACCCTTTGCCTACTATACTCCAGATTTCATCTCAATGCCTTGTCCTGAACTCTTCCGAAAGCTATTGGTCCAACAACAAACCTGAAGGACTTCAAAAGGCAGAACATAATCTCCAGGCTAGCCTGAACCTGACCAATCTGCAATAACTTCTTATGAAAGGTGTAATAAATCAATGTCAATACATATCTGAAAAAGAAATACTCACTTGATCTATAAAAAAAATCACAGTGCTTTAAAAATATAAGATTAGTAAGAAGGGAACGATGTCACACTGAAAGATAAAATTTGGAGAAATTAGAAATTTAGAATCACAGCAAAATTTGAGCAAATATAATTAATGGAGTAGATGGGGCAAATAGGTTTGGTAAAAGAGAATTTTTATTACCAACACCTGTTTCAAGCAACACAAATGCAATGGAATCAAGGGAGAGACAAAATCAGAATTGAATAAAAAGCATAATTGGAAACAGATGACTGAGAAATGCAATCCAGTCTGTCAGGTTATTTACAGCTACAGTTTGTGAAACACACTATGAATTATTAGTATCAAACATATAGTTTAAACATAGAGAATTAAAGAGAGTAGGAGTAATCATCTCCAAGTCCATAGTTCAAAAGCACCTATCACCTTTATCTTGGTCCTTCTTAGTATCTAGCTTTCACACTGATATATTTCCCACTGGAACAACTTACTCTGACTTTGTCACTTGAAATGTTCTTATCCTTCATTATCTTGTCTAAATTTATCACTACCTGCCTCCTCTTTACTTTTCTAAAACATTTTCTGCCTTTATTCTTGAGCCCAGGAAAACAAAATTACCTTCTACCTTCACCTCTTCATAATCTTTAAATTCACTAAATATGCAGGTTGTCATTCCCTTTGCTTTTTTAATAGATGAGATATTCAAGCCTTTGACAATACACAGATGAGATATTCATTCAGATTTTTCACTTATCATTTTTTATTTTAATAATGAGCTCTTTTAACTCTAGTTTTGGCTAACAAAATGATGTTGTCTGCATATCTGAAACAATTACTGTTTTGACTTCCACTTTTGATTTATCTTTTCCAATCTTTCCATTCTTATATTTATTCTACAATAAAAAAATATGAGGAGAACATGCATCCTTGTCTCAGTCCCTTCCTTAACCTGAACTACTGTTTCTCCAAATTCAGTTCTTACAGCTGGCCCTTATTCACTGTAAAAATTCCTCAGAAGAATTATCAGGCATTTGAGTTTATCTATTAGACATTATCTGTGTACATATTATGTTATTATTGCTACATATTATTACATATTATTGAGAGCCAGTTTGGTGTAGTGGCTAAAGCGCTGGGCTAGAAACTGGGAGATCCTGAGTTCTAGTCCTCCCTTAGGCATGAAAGCCAGCTGGGTGATTTTGGGCCAGTCATGCCCTCTCAGCCCAACCCACCTCACAGGGTTGTTGTTGTGGGGAAATAGGAGGCAGAAGCATTAGGTATATATGCCACCTTCAGCTGACCAAAAACAGAGGTAGGATAAAATTAAATAAATACATAAATAAGTACTTTGAATACTCTTGAGTATTTCTACCATAGTTGTAAATTTTTCTGTGATTTCTCTAATCTTAAAAAGATATTTCACTTTCCTTTTTTTGTTATATTCCTCTAACTATGGACATCCTTGAGATATCTTGAGATATCTTTCCTTACTTCACCATAGGAAGTCTGTGTTCTGTCATCATATGTCCTTCCTTTTTGCCCAAGACTTTCATTGCCAATGGCTCATGATAGTTTGTTCTAAAAGCCTCCTGAACAGTTTCCTATTTGGATATATTTTTCTCCACTTTATTTTTCACAATGTCTCTTGTCCCTTTCCATAGCTCCTCCTGTTATCTTTTGCATAAATGCACTAATTCTATTTCTGGATCAAAGAAAGGCAGGCTGCTCCCTTGAGGCGATAAGAGATCACATACTTTGAACATCTGATGAGAACAGATGATGGACTAGAAAAAAACAAATGCTTAATACTGTTGAGGGAAGCAGAAGAAGAGTACAATAGCTAAAGTATTAAAGAAATTATTGGGATTTCCTTAGAAGAGCTACAAGTTATTATTAAGTCAGGACAAACTAGGAACTATTTGCCCATACAGTCACATGGAAATGAAGCGACTCAGTGACACCCACTACATAGATGTTTTTCTGCATTCTTTAAACTTGAATAATGATTGTTCTAAATCATGCTAATGGTTTACTAAACACTGATCTCTTGCCATGCATGTTTATGAGAAGCTACTGAGCTAAAGATAGGAGATCCTGGTTCTGTGCACAGCTACTCTAATATATTAAGACATCAATAATATGGACTGTAGTTTCTTCTAAAGAACAAAAGGCACTCATGTTCAGATTTGATATCAACTGTCTTCAAGAAAGAATTCCTGTTCAAATTTTTTCTGAACAATAATAATGTTTTAGTTCAACTATAGTTTAACTATAACAATACTGTATATAATTTCATCAGGAGAGAGATTGTTTTCTTCAGTGAATGTTATAAAAAGCTTTAAACAGACTTCTAAAAAAACCAAACCTGAACTTCATTCATGGAAATCAATATTATAAGTAGAAATTTAATATGACAAAAATTACACACACACACCACAAAGACATTAATTAAATTAATAAATATATGATAAAGTGAATGAAAATTTAAATGGAATTCCACTTCCGGGTATGATTCTTTCATCATTTTTTACTCACACTTTAATTCTAAAAATGAATGGCATCTTATGGTACAGTATTCTATGAAGTTTGATTGCAGCATATATTGGATAATAAGATAATTTAAAGATAAATTATGCCTGTTTCTGCTTATAAATGAAATAAGATAAATAACTTTTTGTGAGATAGGTGGTATCTAAATTTGAAATATAAATAAATACATAAATAAAATTTATCAAAAAGACAAGTAATATTGAGTATTACCAGGATGATAAAAACACAAGCATAAAATGGGAGCTAAGTAGCACAGAATTAATGAAGATAGTGAGAGAAGATGTTACAGGAGATGCAGAGGTTGATTGAGAGATTCAGTCTAAAACACTGCATATTGAACTGGAAAGGCAAGTGAAGTCATATACAGAATATCTGTGGGAAGTAGAAAGATGTGTTTAAAAGAATGAAAGTGTCAGCTGGGGTAGAGCAAGATGGCATGAAAGAGAGGAAGCAACACTCCTCTGCTTCTAGAAAAAAATTTATGTTGCAACCCTGAAAATTCAATCTGGATATTTCATATAGCGGAAAATAGGACCTTAACACTGTAATACATTCCTCAGTGCATGAAGGAGATGCAATAAAATCTGCCAATTTTAAATGTCTGTGTTATTACCAAAAAGTATATGAATATGTAGGCTGCATTCATATACATATAGTAGCATTGTCTGCTGTATCCCTGGGAACATGGTTTACTCAATGAAACAGCAGCAGACAATCAATGTAATGTAACATTTTACATTGCACTGGTTTCACCATGAGCAATACTTTGTTGGAATCCAATATTCCTTTGCAGAGATTGTTCAGCTATTTTTTAAATAAGTATATGAGAAAATAAAAAGGCCACAGGGAATAGGAAGCCCTATACAAACTA